CTCTTGCAACAGTCAAGAGGAGATGATGCTAACTTTATGGGTTGTGATAACAAACGTGGAAACACATATATGGCTTTGAGAGCTATCAGAAGGCAAATCTGCAGAACTTCATGATAAATTGGAAATATGGGGTAAGGTAAAGAAGAGAGGTGTCCTGCACGACTCAGGTTTCAAAGAAAACTGGAAGAGAGGCAGGTCTGTGAAGGAAGACCAGAAATTTAATATTGTATATGTTGAGTTTGAGATGTCTTTGACACATCCAAAAGAAAAGTTCTACAGACAGTTGGGCATTCAATTCTGGAAGTTAATTAAGAGACCTAGTCTAGGAATGTAAATGAGTCACGTGCAGTTAGTGGTGACAAGCTGTGAGTATGGATGAGTTCACTTACAAAGACAGTCCCAAAGGCTGAACCATGAGGACTCCAACATTAAGTAGCCTCCTAAAAGAACATTTGTGCAGCATGCAGAGGATGAAAGGTGGTGCAGACAGAAAGAAAACTGGGTATATGGACACCAAAATAAGAGTGTGGCAAGAAGGCAAGCAGTTTCAGAAGCTGCTAAGAGATCCAGTAAAATGATGTCTAAAAATGCCCCTTAAAAGTTACTGCCCTTAAAAACTTTATCATTTTTTGGTGAGGAAAATAATGAACATTCCTTTTGTCATGTCATTATATAACAATAAAATACTTAAAATATGTAAAAGACAACATACAAACAGTCACACTTTCATAATTTCCAAATAATTCCAAGCTAAATATGAAGTTCACTTTTATTTAATTGAGAAGTATTTATTTGTAAGGTACTAGATGAGGCTCTAGATTGGTCAACTAAGTTTACTTCATTATTTCCTAACCTAGAAGTTTTAAATTTCATGTTGTACTTTAATGCAAGTATAATCATCTCTTTGAAAGCTGAAAGCTGTTCAGAATCAGAATTGACCAACATAACAAAATAAATATCTGAATTTTAAGGGCATTATTTTTAAATGACTGTTTCCATCAGTTTCATCGGTTGTATTTATTTTTCTTTATTTTTTATTTTTTATTTTTTTGAGACGGAGTCTCGCTCTGTCACCCAGGTTGGAGTGCAGTGGCACAATCTCGGATCACTGCAAGCTCCGCCTCCCGGGTTCATGCTATTCTCCTGCCTCAGCCTCCCAAGTAGCTGCAACTAATGGTGCCCACCACCATGTCCAGCTAATTTTTTTTTTTTTTTGTATTTTTAGCAGAGACGGTGTTTCACTGTGTTAGCCAGGATGGCCTCAACCCCCTGACCTCATGATCCACCCACCGTGGCCTCCCAAAGTGCTGGGATTACAGGCATGAGCCACCGTACCCGGCCAGGACTCAGTTTCTTTGTTGATAAAATTTTCAAAAAGCAATGTCCATCTTGAAGAATTGTTCTGAGGTGAAATGAGACATACATGAAACTCATAGTGCTTGGCACAGACCACTACAATTTATTACAAACAAATTATTATTACTACTGGAGGGTTTCTATGAAGGGTTTGTTAGCTTTTAACTTAAGTATAAAATTTTAAAAATATTTTTAAATTTACTTCATGCTGTGTCTAACATAGCTTAATAAGATCTCAGGACACATCCAGGATTCAACCTGCCATCCCTAAAGGGCATGTGGAGGAGAGGCTGGGGCATCTGTGGGCTCTGGCCCCCACCTGTAGACTCTACATACTCCCTATTTCAGGTCCTCCCAGATCACAACGAATGCTTTGGACCATTCCAAAGCACTTACCAAAACATACTCTGCGGTCTCGTATTGTTCTCTGGTTAAATAAATTTGTGAAATGCTGTATACTATACCATACCCTCTTGGAGATTCACATAGGTCCCTGGCATATTAAAGGTTCTCAGAAGTCTTGCATGAAGAAAACCTGCTTAATGCAGTATGTTACAAACTTGTTTGACGCTACTATATAGACATTTATAGTCTGGTGGAGTAAGTGAAACAAACACTGCTAAGTGCATTAGAAAACAAAAAACAATAATTAAAAACTAAACTAACATGGTACTAAATTTAGAAAGCAAAGAAAGATTAGTAAGGCCAGTTTACTTGGGAAAAAGACTTCATGGAAATAAAACCTGGTCCTTCAAATATCAATAGCATTTAAATAGAGAACAGAGAGGAGAATATTCTAGACTTTAGGTTGGTAGATTTCTAGGAGTGACCCAAAAAAGGCAGACAGCTAAAACAAATTGTCAAGGTGCTAAGATTAGAGATACAAAAAAGAAAAATGAGATGCTTACAACCAGAAAGCTGAAGGTCAGGTAAAATTGTACTGAAAGAAAAAGGCTAACTTCCCTGATTGTCACTACTCTTACACAGTCTAATATGAACTCTTTGTATCTACCTAGTAACAATCTAGTTTTTAATAGAGGCTCAATTCCTTTACCCCTTAATTTAATCTGACTGAGGTAGATTTTTAGGCAATGCTCTCAGTTTTTCCAATTGAAAAAATGGTAATCTCAGTATAAATCCTATTTTGATTCTATTTTCCCTCTATTTTTAAGATTTTTAATCATAATAAAATGCTGACATAAAAGTTTTATTTGATACTATTGCTTCTATAATACCCTCTTTTAAGAGGTACAGAAAATATAAAATCAAATTTATTCAATGCTTTTTTAAAAAAGGATCTCCTTATACTCCTGATTAAAGTATAGGTGATTTCCAATGATTTCTGCTCTTGTTTTTTTAGCATTTTTAGTAATTTCTTCAGATGAATTTTTAAGCTTTATGTTTCCAGTTGGAGACTTACTAACAAAACCTCATTCATAAAGAAGCATTCATTTCATTTTCCTCCTCATTTACCTGCTTCCTGTTCCCTCTGGTTTCTCTTTTCCATGACAAATTTAATAGAGACATAGGAAACCATATTCATCATAAACCAGGGAACTATAATATCCAGTGCTCGAATGGCCCTCGTGAGGTCTGTTGGAACATTTCCCCAAGTCCTGTCCAGGCAGGGTCCCACCTAAACCACCGAGGAACCTCAAGTATTTAATGCCTTAGTCTTCCTTGAAAACCCACTGCAAGATTTAGACCATCTACTTACAGGAAAGGTCTTTCTTGTAGCCTCTAGAAATAAATTCTTTCCTTAGCTAATTCAAAGCCATTTGCTGATACGTAAAAACAATTTTTTTTATGTCTGCTTCTACCTTTTGAGCATCCATGAGGTAAAAGGCATGAAAGAACATGTTTAGATGACAAAATGGTCACAGTGATTTCCTTATGGAAAAATATATTCTTTAGGTTTAAAATCATGAAATCTACTATATTGAGGGTGTCAGAACATATTAACATTCAACATACAAGTTGGCCCATGACTGTAAAACATTCTTCCTCCCAAACACAATTTTGTTTTAATTCATAGTGGGAGGAAAAAAAATCATTCTGAAATTTTCATCCATGATAAATTATTAACATTTCTAAAACATAAAATGGAAGAGACATATTTTAAAGCAAGAATTATTCTCTTTGTTTAGTAAACTTGAAAGGAGCTCTTACAGCTCTTGTATTTTTCATTGGTGGGCTAATAATTTTTATATCACATAATCAAAACATAATAGGTATTTTGAGCATCCTTGGTGTTTTAGCATTTTACTGAAATCATTTTGAGATCAGGTAGGAAATCCATTCCAGTTGCAGGAAATTCTATGAGATATAATAAATAGAAAACAGCTATATCTACAGAGCCTTCAATTCGCACCCTAATGCTGTGTACCATGTTAAATTATCAGAGTGAGGAGAGTCCAAGTTCCACTGACTGAAAATATGGCTTTGAGCTTTCCATTTAATCTCGAAGGATAATAGCATTCACCTACTTGGTCATTCAGAGTGAACATTCTCACTTTCCCCATACAGGCACACCCTTCTCTATAACGCCTTATCCTTTTCTAACCTATAACTCTTTTAGGTTATCAAAGAAGACTGACATAAAATTGATGCTTGCTATAGCTTTACTAAAGCTAAGAAGACAATATTATTAACTGCAAAAGTACAAGTAGGGAAGAGTTCAATAGTCAAGGATAACTTCAAAGATTCCAAAAGAAAAATAAGGGCAAGTTTGACAATGGGACTATTTGGAGATGCTTGCCGAATAACCCCATTTTTCTGTCTTTGTTTCTTTTTTAACCTATTTAGGGAATTCTTATTTTTCCGCCTTTAAGGGGGAAAAAAAGAGAAACTATTTAAAGAGCCATGTGGCATTGCTTTTTACAGAAAATAATTATAATTCATTATAGTTACTATAAACATGTATACAGCTTAACAATATTTAGGTCACAAGCAAGGCAGTCTTTGAGCAGTCAGAATAGTCTTTTAAAAATGGGCAAACACTTAATGAAATAAAAAGGTAAATAATCAAATAATCATTTTGTTGGAAGATTACTACCAATGTCATGATAGCAAAAGTAACAAGTAAACTGGACCTTAAACTTGTTATATCATTTGTTCATTGTTATTAAAATACATTTAGTTCTCCTGCATCATATAGAAAATTCAATGGGTAAAGGATCATTTAAAATCAATATCTGAACTAGCACTGCTGAACCAAAGATTTTCCAGCACCTGGATGAATTACATACTAATTCTTTAAACAAGTATAATACAAAATCATAGTTCATACTTCTTAAATGGTAATATAAAAAGTCACAGATTACTCATGGGAATAATAAAGCTTGGTTATCAAAGTCTTCCAGGTGCCCAGACACGCCATTTTTTTAAAAAATCTGTCATTTTAAGTCTAAAAACTAAAGTTATTTCAGTAAAACATAGCTAAAATAAATCTGAATTATTTTAAACATTTTTTAGAGAACAACTACCAGAGAAATGTCTTTTCCTTTTCAGTTCCAAGAGCTTAAATGAAACATTCATGCATTAAATTCAAAGTGTGACTGTCAAATCATTTCACGTTAATAAAAATTTGAATTACCTGCCTTAGGGCATTATTAAATATCAAATAAAAAGTACACACACATAAGTCTGATTCCCAATATAATTTTTATATAGAACTCTGACTAGATTTGTATTACACATTTCAAGATAAAAGGATAAAAAATGTATTCATAAAAAAATGAAATCAGAATTAGAGTCACCTTAGAATTCCTGTACTATTCTTAGGAATTTGGGAGCAAATTATGCCCTTTAAGTAATCTCAGCCACCAAGATAAGAATACAAATCCATCTTCCTATCAGAAATAGTACCTAAATTGTAATTAACTCAAAACTTTGAAAAACTACACATTATTCATCTATCATATAAAGAATACAAAGTATGTGAAATATACAAAATCTCATAAACAACGTTTTTCTCTCTCTCTGTGTGTGTGTGTGTGTGTGTGTGTGTGTGTAAAAGAGAGACAGAAAATAATAATAGTAATTTAGATATTTAGAGAATGGCAACTCTGGTCTAGGACCAGATACAAACCAAATATTCAAAGGAATAATCTCCCTTCATTAAAAGTATCATTTACAGTTATTCACATTCACAGGGAGTATACTAACTAAACCTAGACTGGATAAATGCATGCATTCACGCTTTGCAACCCTCATCCCACCCCCGCTGCCTCTTGGCCTCTCCTATGAACACATCCTTCCCTTTTCCTCTGCTCCTATCCTATCTTCCCTGCTGTTCTCCTGCTCCTAGCACCTGTCCCATTCATCATTAAATGATAAGAGCAAGTCATGGGTACACAGCAGCTCTAAACTACCACCTCCTTCTTTCTTCCTTCCCATTGCAGCACAGAGAGTGCCCATCCTCTCAGCAAAAGCCAGGCTCCCTGTGTGTTTAGGATTTCATCCCTTTCCACTTTTCAGACTTCACTGCTCCAGCTCCTCCCAAAAGCAGCACCTTCAGCCTCTCTCCATCTGCTTGCTCCTTTTCCATCCCCCAGTATATAGACAAGTTCTATTTCTTTTGTTTAAAAAAGAAAAAAAAAAAAATTTCCTCAATCCCACCCCCTCTCTGTTGCTGTGGCCTCCTGCCCCACTCCAGCCCAGCCCACCAAGGTGGCTGCGACCTGGAGTCTCCAGCTCCTCCCTTCCTATGTCCTTCAGCCTGCTGCAACAGAATCCCTCCTTGATGTGCCACTCAAACGCCAGTGTGGCAGAACTCTTTAACCTCTGCCCATGTCGTGGTGAAGAAAAAGGGGTCTGCCAGTCAAGCTACCTGGATCTGCTTTGGCTCCACTGGTCAATAACTGTATTACTTTGGGCCGTAGCCTAACTTCTCTGTGTCTTGGCTAACTTGCCTGTAAAGCCTCCCACAAGATTTTATACACACTTAATTAAGTAACTCCATTAGATCCATCAGAGCATTATATGAACATATACAATGTCTACACCCAATACTTCCCTATTTCAACCCAGACTTGTTTTCTCTTCTCTACTCTGGAAATTCTAATGACTTTCACGACCAGAGTCCACCATTGCAGTTTGGCTGACAGGCATCTCTCACTCACTGTGCTGCAACTCAACTCTTCATCTTCAACCAAACAGGGCCTCCCCGCAGCTTTCCCACTGCCACTCAGTGACACTCCATCCAGGGTTTCCAAAGTGTAAAACCCCAGAAGTTATCTTTGACACTTCCATCTCCTTCCACCCCTCATCCAATTCATCATGAGCTAGAACCTGTGATTTCTATTTCACATACATTAACTTCTCTCCACCTCCACTGTTTCTATTCTAGTGTCCAAGCCTCCGCATCTGTCACCTCGGCTACCTGACAGACTTCTTTGTTTTTTTGTTTTGTTTTATGTTGTTTGAGACATGGTCTCACTCTGTCACACAGGCTGGAGTGCAGTGGTGCGATCTCAGCTGACTGCAGCCTCCACCTGCCAGGCTCAAGTGATCCTCTCACCTCAGCCTCCTGAGTAGCTGGGACTACAGGTGTATGCTACCACACCCAGCTAATTTTTTAATTGTTTATAGAGATGAGATTTCGCTGCTTCCCTAGGTTCCATTCCAACAGATGCTTTCCCCTTAGGAAGCTATGGTTTGCCAATGATGTACAATGACCTATACACTCTTAGTTAATTTACAAGGTAAAGAAATAATCCAATATATAGTCTTTTTTAATATTTTATCTCTTACACGTTTGTGATATTTTATTTTGTTAGTTCCTTAAGAGTAAGGAATACATACATTGAATTCAGTATATTAAAATATATAATGTTTCAACCAACAGTGTACCATATTTAGATAATTAATAACTGCTTCTCAATTTATCAAATAAAAAGCACTTCCATAGAAGAAGTATTTCAATGCATGCCAGATATGCTCCCTACCCTGAGAAACAAGAGGATCAATTGTGCAGGAGACAAGTAGGATCCACACTGAGGCTCACATGTTCCCCAAGCCCCCTCCTGTGTGCTCCTTGGTCACTGGGACATGACTCGTGCTGCTTCAAGGGGACAACATGGTAAGTTACTAAAGAGGTATGCATGTCACTTTTTCTGGGCCTCAGGGTGTCTTTCCTTATGAAAGCCACCAAAACTTGGAATTAAAGGCTACTCTGATAGGAAAATATAATCGTAGTTTTTCTTCAATACTGCATAAGATTAAAATAACTACTTGACCTGTAATTAACAGAGCTCAAGAATGTGTCATAAATTTTATCAAGATGAAGTACATATGTTTTTATTACTAAATTACCAGGATCACCGTAAGTGTACCTTTGGTATGCTAGGTTTAAGTAGCTGTGCACCTCATTTTCCTTACTTAATCTGGACATACCCTCATGAAGATAGGGTTCCTGTCCTCTTTGGCTACTGAAATGCAGCTCTAATGACTCTGTCACTAAGAGGCTGAGTGGGCCGAAAGTTGTCTCCCAAAATCCCATCACAGCCTTCCACAAGTTCTGCCCCCTTAACATGCGTCCTCAGCCTTCGAAATTCTTCTATCTGAAAATAAAAGCAGAAGAAAATAGATTAATCAATTATCAGACATGAACAAGATTGGAGTTTCATAAATGGCATGCATAACATATGCATAAATTACAACAATTATTAAAGAGAAAATTAAAATTAAGCTTCCAAAAGAAAAAAAAACAGACTTAATTCTTCCAGACCTAAGACATTAGACAGGACCCTTTCAAGAGATGGCAACAGAAGTAGACATATCAAGGTCTCTGAACAACTCAAAGAGACACAGAAATCTGCTCCATTTGTTAATGTAAAAATGATACAGGCTGGGCGCAGTGGCTCACACCTGTAATCCCATCACTTTGGGTGGCTGAGGTGGGCGGGTCACGAAGTCAAGAGTTCAAGACCAGCCTGACCAACATGGTGAAACCCTGTCTCTACTAAAAATACAAAAATTAGCTGGGCAAGGTGGTGTGCGCCTGTAATCCCAGCTACTCAGGAGGTTGAGGCAGGAGAATCACTTTGACCCATGAGGGAGAGGTTGCAGTAAGCCGAGAATACACCATTGCACTCCAGCCTGAGCAACAGAGCCAGACTCCATCTCAAAAAAACAATGATACATACCTCTCCCAAAAAGGTTTTATGCCTATCCATAGCATAATAAGAAAGAGTGAACAAATGAATGTGCTCTTAAATGCTTTCCAAGTACATTTTAATTAATGAATTATTATGTTACTGTATGTAAACACTGATTAGATCTTAGATTTATCAGATGGATTCGAGGTTTCCTTTCATCAAAAGACTTTTGCAACTTTTCTAGCCCTCTGGAGAGCACAGGTCCAAAAAATGATTTTCTAAAAGCCTGAGCCCAACTTCCTGTCTTCACAATATTGATTTTCAAGTTCATTTCCCTTTCTTGGGTGGGCTCTCCAGGTCCCATGGCTTCCCCACTGTAAGTGAAGAGGTTCTCAGAGTCCTCAAGGACCTTGCCCATCAGCCGCCCTACAGTTTCTCTAAGAACCTAGAGCCTGCCAGACATGACTCTATGGGAAATATTAATGTTTAAGCAACAAGCAAAAGTGATGAGCGTTCCCCAGGCTTATTTCCATTTATCTATTTCACTACAGGGTTCACTGTTAATTCACTTAAGTGCCAGATAGTCACGACACATTCTTCATTCCGTATACAGAAGGGGAAATTGAGGCTGGAACAGTTTTGAAAATTACCAGATTAGCTAGTGGGTAAGTCTGATGATTCCAAGTCTACCTGCTCTTTTCTCAGCTCCACAGCCATCTCTTTAGGAATTCTAGTCAATTCAGTATAATCTATCTCCTTCATACACCCCAGGGTATTGAGCATATGTGATCTGGGCAGCATCAATACACCAAAAGTTCACCATCTGTGTATCAAGGGATTATATCTATGAAGATCCTTAATATGACATAGCTATAGAATTCTGCCATTCATGAAGAGAAATGAAACGCAAGAGAACAACTAATTCAGGGGTTTCAACAAAAGTCAAGAGACACCTAGAGACCTTAGGGGGCCCACGAAAGTCCTGAATGATATGCAAATTGTTACATGGGCATTTTCCTCAGGAGAGGCAGAAAGTATTTACAATAAACCAATCATTCACTGAGGAAATTTAAAGTCGTCTCTCCTAGCACTCACTTTCCATGTAATCATACTTAATACCTGCAACCTGAACCTATGAAGCATGCACAGGTCACGGAGGAGCAATGTGGGCTAGGAACTTTACTGCCTCAACATATGAAAGACTCCATTTTTTATTGACTTTGAAGATTATTTTAAAGCTGGGTTAATTTTATATTTATGTATTCTGAACTGAAGAAAAATCTTTCAAGCCCCAGGCCTCACCCTGAAGCATATTCTGTGAAAACAACTTCTTCCAGAAGAGATGATCTGAATCAACAGCCAGCCAGTCTCAAATCACTGTACTCTCAGAGAAAACTATTTCACAAGAAATGTTTTTCTCTGATCACAGCAACACTTTGAAGACTTCAAACATCAACAGAGATGGAGGGGAAAATGTGTCTTTCTGAAATGCCAATTTTTCTAAAGCAACCACCCCCAAAACCCTTTAGTCATTTCAAATGGTTTCAAGTGCATACTGAATCAGCCACACTGAAATGAGAGATTGTGACAAACGAACAGAAAAATAGAATAATATTTCGGGATAGAAATCTTTAACGAAACTCAAATGTCAGGGCCTTCCAGAGACCATTATTATCACATATATCTGAATGTATGACTGCATGTATTTTTAATGCTACTCTACTTAAACATGGCATTTGTTTTTAACCAATTTAAGAGAAAACTGAATGTGGGCCACCAACATTGAACATTTCACGGAGAAGTCCCCATCTTCTGAAGGTATTAGATTCAACAGCCACTGTTCTTTGAACTACAGATGCACTCCAATTGGTCTAAGACGTTTATTCCAATCTTCACTGCCTCACAAACCAAATCATCCACTAAAAGCTCAGCTTTAAAATTGCTTCTTTATTAATGGATTCAAAGAGCTAATTTCCAGGGTTTGCGGTTTAGTGCTAGTTAACTTTCAGGAGTTACCAAGTTCTAATAGATTTATTTTGACTTGCCTTTCATGTGTCATCATGTTAAAAGAGAAATACAACACGTAAAAGTCAGTATGCTCTATCCATTAACCCATCTATGGACATTCATGTGGTTTCCCTGTCTTGGCTGTCATGAACACGGGAGTGCAGATACCTCTTCAAGATACTGACTTCTATTCCTTTCAATCTGTATCCAGAAGTGGAAATCAGCCAGACATGGAAACACAAGTATTGTATGAACTCACTTATATGTGGAATCTAAAACGATCAAACTCTTAGAAGCAGAGAGAAGAATGGCAGCTGCCATTGGCCAATGGCAGCTGGCAGGAAGCAGAAATGGGGATATAATAGTTACAGGGTACAAAGTCTCAGTTATGCAAGATAAATAAGTCCTCGAGGTCTCCTATATAGCGCAGTGCTTATAGTTAACAATACTGCATTGTATACTTCAAATTGCTAAAATGGTAGATCTTATGTTAAGTGTTCTTACCAAGCAAAATATTGTAACAACAAAGGACATGGGAGGAAACTTTGGGAGGTGACAGATATTTTATGACCTTGATAAAATGGTTCTTTATCAAAGTTAGTGCTCTCATTTTCTTTTATTATCAATAACAATACAAGAGTCAGAATAACATAATTCCACATGGTACTAATCAAATTAAAAAGTCAAAAGCAAATTGTACTTAAACAGTCCATATATGTATACAAAGACAGATACAGACAAACATAGAGAGAGGACTCTCCACTTTTCACGTCCTGCAGCCTTGGTTTTGCTGCGTTTCTCTTCTACCCCATTATAAAATGTTCCATCTAAAATCAATGCTCCCTCTTCCTTACCAACCTCTCATTCATAAACCATCTCTCACTCTGTCATGACTCCTTAATCGATCTTTTCAATTTTTTTGACTAAGAGAATAGGAAGAACATTCACTCCCTGGTAACACCAACGTCAACCATCCTGATGCCATCCCCAGCCTAAAGGAGCCCCAGCCTCGACCACTGTCGAGAGAGTTTCTGAGCCACACAGATTTAAACATACTCAAGAATTATAGATTAGAGAGCTCACAACCACAGGGAAAGTGCTGCCTATCACTTAAGACACTGAGAAAATACATATAAAAATATCTACAAGCAATTAAAAATGACACATTTTAAGAAAGTGAAGAAAGTGTCTCCCCAGAGAGAAGATCCTTGATTTGCACTGTCCAGGATGGCAGCCACCTGGCCCACATGGCCACCAAGCACTTGAAATGTGGTTTGTCCAATCTGAGATGTGCTGGAAGTGCAGAATACACACTGCAAGCCAAAGACTCAGTACGAAAATAAGAATGGGAGAAATCTCATCAATGACTTCTTATCTTGACTACATACTGAAATGATAGTATTTTGCAAGTGTTGGGTTACATACACTATTTGAATTAATTTCTTAATTTCACCTGTTTCTTTTGACTTTTTTTTTTTTTTTAACCATGGCTACTAGAAAGTTTAATATGTAGCTCACATCATGTTCCCACTGGACAGGGCTGGCCTAGCACTGCCCTTCACACTAGCCTTCAGGACCTCAAGCCTTCTCCGGTTAGAGCGCTGATCTCAGTTACATGTAGAGACGAATGCAGGTACATATGTAACAGTGGTTCTCAAAGTATCCTCCCAGAATAAAAGTGTAAGTTGTCAGCAACTACATCAGACCTACTGATCAGCAACATAGGGGTGGAACCCAGCAAGGTGTGCTTTAACAAGCCTTCCAGGAGATCTGACACATGCTCAAGTCTGAGAACCATGGATGTCTTCATCTGTTTTGTGCTGCTATAACAGAATACCTGAGACTGGATAATACATAAAGAACAGAAATGTATTTTCTCACAGTTCTGGAGGCTGGAAGCCCAAGATCAAGACATTTGGCATTTGGTGAAGGCATTCTTGATACGTCCTCATGTAGCAGAAGGCAGAAGGACAAGTGAGCCAACAAGAAAATGCTGTGTGAAGCCTCTTTCTTAAGGGTCTTAATCCATTAACAAGGGAAGGGCCCTCATGGCCTAAACACCTCTTAAAGGTCCTACCTCTTAATACATCACATTGGCAGCAACTGAATTTTGGAGGGGACACATTCAAACCACAGCGATGGGCATAGAAGAAAATCTACAACAAATGTTCCCAATCATTGAAAACCTACAACAAATGTCCCCAGTCATTTGAAGTTATTTTCAAACATAACCATGCTGTGGCCCTACGGCAACCTGGACTTTAGGGAAACAGCCCCTTTGATTCCATAGGGAGCATGAAGACCCCTGAGAAAGGCTTGCTGCTTCGTGAATGGGGTCAGACTTCCTTGACTGTCCAGGGCCAGATGTGCTTCTAGATCCCACAGGCTGAGCACATGCCAGGCACTAACTCCGGCTGTCAGGATGTAAAGAGTCCTACTTTCCAACCCATATGAAA